AGGCCCAGGATGATGGCAGTGCTGGGGAGATGCTGGGGTTGGTCGAAGCCCAGCTGCGATGGGAGGGGCCAGAGGCTCGACAGGAGGAGGAGGTGGTGAATGAGAACTTGAGTGGTGAAGACTCCTATGCACACAACCTGTCTGTCTGCCGTCTCTCGGCTGGTCCTGGGGAGGCTGTTAGCAGCTTGCGAGGTCCAGCCTGCGAGGGTCAGGGCAGAGTGTGTCTCCGCTGACCAGAGCAGGGTCCAGTGAAGAGGGGCGTGGCTGTGAGTCTCCGAGCCTTTGGGGTGGTCACTGAACACACCCAGCGGTGCCCCAGCACACAGAAGGGCCACTGGGGGTGACTCACCAAAAGGCCCAGACACTGAAAACCCACACCCCTCTCTTGGGGATTCTGGAAAGCCAGGGTCCCTCCTACGGTGGCCGGCTGCAGTTGGCAGCTCTGTGGGTTTGGAACCACTGGTGCACCCTCTTTGGTGGGGCTTCCTACACCAGCGAACTTCCCCATCCGGAACGGCATCTGGTTCCTTTGAAGCCAGACACAGGGATCCTGAACACCCATCTGCAAAACGCGTCCTTGGGTCGTGGCAGCAGGACCAGGAGAGTGATGTCAACTTTTTCGGAGGAGTGAGCCCAGGGGCCAGCTGGCCGACTGGTTCCGAGCCACCCACAGGGTAGGAGGCGGCTTCTGTCTCTCGGGAGGCCAGCAGGTTCTTAGCGGATGTCTTGGCAAGTTGTGGTTCGGATTTTCTGGAAAGCAGCTGAAGGGCTTACCAGGCTTCATCTTCCCCTCGACCGGAGCCAGAACGTCCGTCGTACCCCAGTCCCGTACCCAGACAAGCACACGCTCCCCCCTGTGACGTCAGGGCCATTTCTATACACCCTCGCCTGCAAACGCCGCCCCTGTGCTGCTGCCACGTGCCCAGCTTGCCTCTTCCCAGGCTCCGTGTCAGTTCCACGGGCTGGCCCGGCAGACAAGCCGCCTCCAGAGCATCTCACTCACGGGGAGGGGACGGCTGCTGCTACTCCCTTTGTTCTTTGCAGGATTGGCAGGGAAGACCCTTCTCCAAGAGGTGCCCGGAGAATCCTGCCCACCTGCGTGCAGTGAGCGGGACGGGAGCCAGACCAGTGGTCAGATGGCCCTCAGCCCAGCTGCAGAGGAAGGCTCGGTGGCCTCTTCTGGGCGGGGCCTCACTTACAGCCTCAGGGGCTTTGCAACCATAGCTCTGTCCCTCGCGTAAGAGAGAGTTTCTGCAGCTCATCTCTGACACAGTGTGTCTGGAATTAGCAGGGAGGCTGCCATTCCCAGGCCCTCAGTGCCATCTGAAATGGTGGCACCTACTGCAGGTCTGGGTCCTTCTGAAGGACAGTCTAGGAATTATTTTCAGCATTTTCTTAATACATTGAACTAGAGAGCACTGGGGAGAGGAAGAGACTTACTTGATTCCTGCATGGCCTCTCTAGCGGGAGAGCTCGTGCAAGCACCCCCCAGGACCCCGAGAGGCAGGACAAGCCCACAGTCCTTAAGGAGCTGGTTCTCTTCTGTCGGGGAGACAGGCGGGTGACAAATACCCATCGTCGGGGGTGATGGATGCTTGGGCAGACGAGTGCCCGAGTCAGGTGAGCTCGGGACTGGGAAAGCCTTGCTGATGGGGGTGGGCCGAAAGGGTGTGCTCTGGGGAGTGGGGGTGGGGGGATGGGGACACACAGCGAACAAAGGAGGGCAGCAGGGAAGAGCTGGGCCCCACTCTTGGCAATGGCATGTTCTGCGGTGTCTCCCGATTGGGGACAAGGGGAACTGGGGTCAGGGGCAGCTCAGGTAAGGGCATGGCACACAGGTTTCCCATAGCGGGGGCCATTGCTGGTTTCCTCTCTGTTAATACGAAGCACTGTGGTGAGGTGTGGGGATGAGGGGCCAGCAGGAGACAGGGTCCCAGATGTCACGTGAGGAGTGGGATTTTGTTCTGTGAGCGCCATCCCTGAGACAAGACACGGAGGAGGAGATGAGCTTCAGCCATGCGTTTGAGTTGCTTGGGGAGCACTCAGTATACCAGGGACTCCCTCTGGGGAGCAGAATGAGGGCCTGAACCCAAGAATTTCATCCCTGTTCTTCCTGCTGGGCCGCAGGAAACGTTAAGTCCTGCATTGAGGATGAGGGGCAGGTCTGTGCCCACCCGCTTCTCTGATGATGGGCAGCACAGGGAAGGCTGGGGGCATGATGTCAGCAAAGGCCCTTCCTGCTCAGCGAGGCCCCAGAGGGTGACTCCAGCAGGACTGGGGACACAGGCTGGAGTGTGCACAAGCAGGGCTCTGCTCCAGGCAGTGGGGAGCCAGCTTGTGAACTTCTCAGAAGCTGCAGTTCTAATGCCAGCCGGCCCCGTCCGTTGGGCACCACAGTCTCCGGAGAGCCCGGCTTAGCACAGCCTCACCTGCTACTTCAGTGGCACCCGGAGGTGGCTTCCACACCCTCAGTCCTGACCCTGGGCTGAGATGGCCCCACCTCAGGGTTTGTACATCCAGTGGCACATTAGTGGAGACTCTCATGGCGGGGCTAGTTTTGATGTCCGCATCATTCCTCCAGGTCCCCAAAGGACACCTTGCCCATCACCTGAACTCTGCTCAGAGAGCAGTGATGGTTGTGGATGAATTCTACAGCCCTGATAGGATGGGAAGACAGGCTTTCTGAAAAGCTCTACTTCCACGATAGCTCTCTGAGCGGTCGCAGCATCAAGCCCTCTGCTCCACCTGCAGCCGTGCCCAGGAAAGACCCTGGACTGAAGCTCCCTCAGGGAACAGCCAGCCTCCCCTGCAGGGCATGTGTCCCAGGGTGGAGGCTGCGGGAGGCCCGGACCGACTGGGAGAGTACCCTTGGCAGAGGTGAGTGCGCGGGTGCCGGGGGAGGTACCTGTAGTCCAGGAGACGCTCCATGAGGCGGGTGACCGAGGTCACAAAGGAAATGCCGGTCTCACGCCATGTCTCTTGCTCAACCTTCTCCAGCAGGCTATTGTTAGAGGAGGGGCGGGGGAGCAAATGCAATTTATGAGTCCTCTCTGGGCATGTGAGCCACATCCCAGGGCCCGGGGTCTTCCCTGGGCTGTGGCGGATCTGGAGACAGCGGTCACCACACCGCAGGCTTACCTGGGGTAGGGCCCAAACAGCTGGGTTCTACTCCATGCAGCAGAAAGCAAAGACAAGGAGGTTACGGAGCTGACAGCAGCAAAGGAAGTGCCTCCCCCTCCCCCTGCCCAGGGCCCGTCCTCTCAGGGGGACACTGTTCTGCAGGAACTGCTGAGTAAGAGCCCACTGAGGGACGGTCACTTTTCAGAGCCAGCCTCAGCAAAAGCACACACTAGCCTCTTCATGCAAACCAAGGAGAGAACTCCCACCAGCTGGGAGAGTCCGGGAGCGGCGGCCAGCCAGGCCCAGTATCAGAGAGTGCACCTACTCAAAAGGTACCGCCACCCAGAGCTAACTGTCCAGGGTCTCTGCCCCTCTGCCAAGCCCAGTGTCTGAGCCCCTCTGCTGGGGATGACACCCTGAACCCTTTTTGCCTGCTTCACAGGTGGACCCAGGGCTGCCCTTGTTTCGCATCACTCTATCCCTCCTGCCGCCGCAGCCTGGCTGTTGTGAATGGTGCTGCCACCACAGCCATCTCCCTGCACAGAGCAGCCTGTCTGGGCCAGGGCTTCACGGGGAGCGAGGGTTTCCCATGCGACCCCGCGAGCCCTGTGCACAGGCCCGCCGCACCTCAGTGCGCAAACCGCTCTGCAGAACTCTGGGGCAAGGGCAGTGGGTGAGCTGGGGAATGCTGCTCACTTCGCCCTCCTTTGACAGACTTTCCACTCCACCCCCTTTGTGCACAAAAGCCACCGACAAGCCTACAACGCAATGGGATTGTGCTTGAGTCTTTAAGACATGAATTAGCCCATGCCTCCCCGCACCCAGCACCCCCACAGGGACGGCTTCCTCAAGACACAGGTGGCAGGACTGCTTTCCTGGCTCTCAGTCCCCGGGGCTGGCTTGAGAGGAGTCTGTGAGACACTGCAACCAGCTAACTCCGAACTCGGGGGTCTCTGTCTGCTTTCTCCGTTGCAGTAATAGCACGGTTAGCGGCTAAGGAAGAGGTTTGGCTGCCTCATTCCTCAGAAACCCGAACACCTCTGAGGATACTTCAGGGATGTCCTCAGTGGAGAGAGATATGAAAGGATGGACTCGTTTCCACAGATTGTGGTAAACGGTTAGACTTCACACTGTGGGGGCCCCCGAGGGCAGGAAGGAGCCCTCACTGAGCCTCCTAGAGTAAGGTGACCAGATTCTAACCTTGGTAAAGCGGACACCACTGATAAAACTCACATCCTGGCGAAATAGCCACATGGCAGCTGAAAACCGTATACCCAAGCTTGTCGTGCATTCTTTCCAAAAATCGGGACTTATTTAAAACGCCGCAGGAAAAATTGTTCGAAATCGGGACTGTCCCGCCAAAAGCAGGACAGTCTGGTCACTTTATCTAGGGCCGCTGCTTGCTGGCCCCGGGCCGGGCTCAGTCTCGCCACCTTTGCCTTTCCCTCATCACCAGTGTGTGAGGACCACGCAGGGAAGGCCTGTCAGGGGCTTTCACACCGTGTCCACTTCTAAGCGAATGGAGGGGTTATCCCTAGGAGACACGGCACAGGCTTGCCTTCAAAGGGGGGCTGAGACAAAGAGACCCTCTGAGCAGAAACGGACAGCTGGTGCGGGAAGACCCGGGTCGCAGTGCCACAGCTGGGTCAGGATTTCCTTGTGTGGGAAAATGATATGCCAACATCGCTATCTATCTGGGAGGGTGTGGCTGTCCCCAGTCCCTCTCCTACGCTTTATCAAGGATAAGGCCTGAGGGGTGCTTGGCCCTGCCAGCTCAGGCGGAGGCCATGGAAGGGGGGCCCTGGGAGGGTCCTTGATGCCATTCAGTACAGTAACCTCATTGATAAGCAGGGAGCTGAGGCCTGGGCAGGAGGGGTTCTGACCTGTCCCAGGGTTTGTGAAGCTCACGGTGCTGTCCTGGGAGGAGCCCTGGCAGGGCAGTGGTTCTACATCGCCTGCTGACTGCAAGGTCAGCAATTTGAAGCTGCCAGCTACTCCTGGGATTCACAGTCTCGAGACTCCCATGGGCAGTGACTCAACGGCAGGGAGTCTGGTTTTTAATTTTTTGGGGGGTGCTGTCTTATAGAGCAGGGGAAAGAAGACTCTTGCTTTCTAAGGGGATTTACGCACTGCGCACCCCATACCCTGCCCCAAGTCAACACGGAGCTTTCAACGGGCTGAGTCCTTGTGCAGGTGAACTGGACGCCGTGCGTTTCCCGTCGGCACACTGGGAGCTCACAGAGTTGTAACGCTCTCTACCTCTCCGGCGGTCTATGGAGATGCCGGAAAGCTCTGACATTCGCATGCTGTCTGGTGGACACGAATTGATTGTCGCCTCGTGGCGACAGCTAGGAACAACACAGGCCTCTGCTGGCACCCGCCCTCTGAAGCCCGTCCAACACAGGTGCCACCCTGGCCCTAAGTCACCCTCTCCAACCCCCGTCACCCAGCCCGAGTGGGCTAGCACCGCTTACAGCAGGCTGAAGAGCTCCCTGTAGCTCTCATCGCCTCTGCCTTCTGAGACCATGCTGTCCAGCTTGTCAATCAGCTCGGCTTCCACCTAGAGAGAGGAGGGCAGAGTGCACACTCAGCCAGCCCAGGGGGCACTGGGGAAGCCCTGCGCCTGCGGCGGGCGAGGCTGGTGGAGAACTGCTCTGGGGCATGGGCCACACTGGGCATCTGGAGTGCTTCCGGTTTGTCTGTGCTCGCAGTAAAATTCAGCGAAGAGCTTCCTGACAGCACGCACCAAGAAACCAGGGCGCCATCCCCCGTTGTATGGAAGAAGGGTCCGATGTCTGTCTCCCCGTCTAAAGCCAAAGGCAAGGGACTCCGTGGAGAGAAAAGTGTTTTAGCTCTGAAAGGATTTTGTCAAGGACATTTCACTATTAACAACGTTCATTTCAAACCTGTTCTGCACCCAGGCATGTGCTAGGAACGTTACCCTCTCTCCAGCGAGACGCAAAAGCTCCTCACGCGGATGGCGGTGTCTGTCGGGGGGAGTGGGATGCAGTCTCCTGCTGACCGTCTCCTTCCGCAGCCCTGGGAGAGACTGACCGCTCCTGCCCGAGGGCCCTGCACTGCAAGCACCAGCACCGCCTCCCCTCCAGGGACCTGCGAGGTGGGCAGCGGCCCTTGGCCCTTTTCTGACAGACCTTACTCGACTGACTTCAAGTGAGAGACTAGTTCTAAGTGATGTGAGGTGAAATCTTTTCAACCTTACTCTTAAAAATGTGCTACCGTGTAGACAGATGTTTCATATAAACAGAAAAACGGCATGGCTGGGTTAATAACAGCTATCCTAAAAGCATCTTCGGATACAACGGGGCACTGAATGGGGAAATTCACTGAACGCAGTAAGGGCGCGGAAGTCCCGCTGACAGAATGTGAAAACGGATGACTACGCACTACCTTGTTACCGTGGCCGCCACGTGGCCAGAGGAGGGACCGCATACTGTTTATGGTCTGGCCTGAGAGTCAGCTAAAGAGAGGGCGCACTCAGAGACATCAGAGCCTGAGTGCACGCTCCTCCTCGGAGAGCGACGCACACCGCTCTCTGTGCCGAGAGCAGCAGAGGCGGAGTGTTCGGTGTCACATGAAATCAGAGAGAGCTGGGTCCAGACGCTAGCAAGCAAGGTGGCCCCGCCCACTTTAGAATTTGTCCTACCAGACTTGGTTGTCAGCTGGTACAAACCTCCCAAGGAGAGAGAACCTGAGAATCACAAGGGGTTTCTCTTCGCACGTGTGGGTGCAGGTAGACTGTGCTGCCCTGCATGGAACCAAGGTAGGGTGTGAACCTGAGCAGCAGAAAGAGTGAAATATGCAAAAAGGGGTGTAAGCAGTCCACGGGCGGCAAAAGCATTCCGCGTGGGCTGCTGGAGCTTCCGCCGCCCCAGAGAGCTTACTAGAAAGTTCCAGCACCCCTGGAAGTAGGTGAGACTGGGGTGCGGGTGGGGGCTAGGCAGCAGCCCACCAGGGGACTCTCATGCCTTCTGTGGAGGCAAAGTAGTGGTGATGGAGGGCCGTGAGGGCCTCACGTCCGCCCCTGGAATCTTCAAAGAAGTCATCAGGGGAAACTGAGATGTTTTAGAAAGAGGTATCTGAAGGTGACTGCTGCCAAGTGCTGTCCACTTCCAGCGGGCAGTGACCCGACGGACAACCGATCAAGCTGCTGCCTGGTCGGAGCCACCTCCGAGGAGCAGTCTGGCCGCTCTCCCAAAGCAGATCTGTTAGTGTTCTTCTGGAAGTTCCCGCCGGTCAACCTTCCTCGCCCCGTCATTCACCGCATGGATTCTCCTCTGGCCTTCCTTGCCCATCGCCCAGCTCTGCCCTGTGTCTGAGGCCCCTGGGCATCCCGTGGCTTACGCCGCCAGGTGCCGTTCAGTCTTCAAAGTGACATCTTTGCTCTGGAACGTTTTAGAGAGGCCTCCTGAGCAGGTTTGTCCAATGCCACGTGCCGTTTGCTCCCATGGGGCGTTGATTGTCGGTCCAAGTGAAATGAGCTCATGATAACATGAGTTTTTCTACGTTTCTCATGGCGTTGAGGCTTACTGCTTTCTTTATGCTGAGGCATGGTAGCCTTTGATCTGCGTGGGTGAGTGCTTCAAATCCTGTTCCCTTTCAGCAAGGAAGGTCGTATCTGCATTTTGCTAGCGTCTCTGACCTAGCTTCCCGGGGTCTTCGCTCAGCATACAGGTTCGACCAGTATGTGACAGGGTACCACTCTGAGACACATGCCTTTCTTGATGGCACGCCAAGCGCTTCGCCCTTGCTCGGTGCAAGCAGCGGCTTCTCAGTCTACGTGCAGGTGCACCGGCACTCCACTCCTCACCATGTTCTCCACAACACGCATGACCCACCCAGCCCAAGGCCTCAGACACGGGTAATTTCCCCCTGCATTCTTTTAACAAGTGGAAGCAACTTTAAAATGGGTCAACAGGGTGCTAAAACGAGATATTATATTCCAACCTAACTGTGTCTGCTATAATCAACTTCACAAGGCTGCCTGGTAACAGGGCTAGTCCAGTCCCTCAACCATGGCTGGGAGGAATTCACTGGAGGCTAAACCCATATGGGGATCCTGCCAATGGGCTCTGGGTTTCCACTGTCCTCTATAAGCCTTCTGCAAGGCAGGTGTCCACAATTTAAGCTCTGATGTCATTCTCTTCATGAGATTTGGATGTTATTTACAATCCCTGGATCACACAGGCTGGTGTGCATCTTCCATGTGGACTTAACTGACACCTCATGTAGATGGTTGCTTACTTGAAAATAAGCCTTTAAGACCCTAGACACTATTCTTCCCGATAGCCAAGCAGTATCTAGTTTCTTCACCACACTTTGCTATAGCACCCACATCTGCAGTGATCTCTTCATGACGTTAAGCATTAAGCAGAGCCCTGTCTTAAGAACCAATTGTTCTTCGATTGGGGATAGAATTAAGTGCAAGCCCAAATCGATTCACGCAGCCACGGTCTATATTGTTACCTGGTTCGCCTTGTTGACGCACACCATTGTCATGCTATGTTAGGGACACTATCAGTCGTTCCCACTGGGCATTATTTCCACAGCCATCGAGTCAATGCTGACGCATGGCCACCCTGCAGGTGGAACTGCCCATGAGCCTCTGAGCCTGCAAACTTTCACAAGAGCTGAAGTCTCATCCATCCCTGTAGAGGTGGCTGGTGGTTTCAAACTGCTGACCTCGTGGTTAGCAGCCCAAAGTGTAACCGCTACATATTGATAGTGTTATTTGTTTAGCCAATGGTATAGCACTTAAAACGCTGTTGGGAAAAGGAAATTATACGAATACAGGTTAGCTATGAACCACAATACATGAACTGTTGGCTTCAACAGATTAAACAAGTGACTGGACAATATTTATACCAACAACGGGGGTTGGTGATAAGACAAATATTCCAGTAATATTCATTCACAACACCAGGGCTACCCCTCCCATATTAACACAGGTCATAATGAAGCAAGGAGGCCATTAAAATCCTAAGTAGATGGTAGTCCCGCCCACTATTCCCGGGGCCCCCTCAAGGCAAGAGATTTGAACCAAAGTCCTCTACCCGCCAGTTCGAAGCCCTTGGGCTGGTAGTCAATGGCCTCTTCTCACACGAGGGAGTTTCAGCCACAGGTTCAATGGCTACAGGTGGATTTGAGGT